ACAGACTGGTAATCAGACTAGAGTTAGATCTAATAAAATATAGATTTATATCTACATAGGTCCAAAGGTGCATAGAAGATATGTCAATTTTGATAACGACGTACGAGGGAACTCATAATCATCCGCTCCCTGTTGGTGCAACAGCCATGGCAGCTTCAACAACTTCTGCAGCTGCAGCTTCATTCATGTTACTAGATTCAAGTAATGCACTATCATCATCTGCACATGTTAATTTACCAAATTACCATTACTACTATCCCTCCAACAGTAAGACCATGAACTCTTATGATCCTTATAAGGGGATTGTTCTTGATCTCACAAACCATGCAACTGATCAAATCCTAAAAAATTCAGCGCCACAGTCCTGGAATATCCCTACAGGAACACCATCAATGTCGACAGATGCTGCAATTGCATCTGATCCAAAGTTTAGGGTAGCTATGGCAGCTGCTATCACATCTTTTATTAACAAGGAAAACACTACTAGTTAGTAGTAGTAGCAGCAAGTTACTATGACATTCAATTCAATATTTACAGATACTATAATTTTTTTGGGCAACTGTTTTTGTTTTTAGCATGTATAATAAGTTATTATTTCTCTCTTTCAGGATCTATACAGTTTTAATTCCTAATTGAGTATAACGTATTTTTTCTATAAAAATGTTAAAGCAATAAGAAATTAGTAAATGTATAGATATATCATATGGTTGTATACCTTTAAAATTTATATAATTGTATTTAATGTCCCAACTAATTCTATTTGTTCATAATGTTTATGTTTATGATTATTAATATAGCATGAATTTTTCACTCTTCATCATTTGACACCAAATTTATTGTTTCTGTAAAATTTCTCTGTTACTTTATTATCTGCTTAATTTATAGTTCGCATGGCTTGAATGCTATTCAAAGACAGACGATGGTGTTTTAAGAGCAAAATGATGAAAATGAATTTACTGTAGAGCCAATTTGAAACGGAGACCTTTCGCTTTTGATCCTGATTCTTCAAGGCCCATGCGAACATATATATGTCTGCATCTTTGACCCCCCCCCCCCCAATACTTTAAACCAACAGTATATTTTATAGTTTTTTTCAATGTTCAAATCTTATATTAGCACGCACCATCACCCAAAAAAGGTTTAAGAAAACCACCCAAAAAAAAAAAAAAAAAAAGTTTCGACCCAGAAGTTTCAAAACTAACATAAAGAAAATAGAAAGATAAGACTGAAATAAGAACAGTTCAAGTTATTTATTTATTTGATATATATATCACTCTAGATTGAACTATTCAATTCACATCAGATTAACGGGACAAATGTGGCATTAATAAAAATGTGTCAAACGCATAAATGTATGATTGCTTCCTGAACATTAGCAAATATAACCAAAGAGCATTTTTGAGATTAGTTTCACTTTGGTTTCCATTTGATGGTCTGTATATTCTAAAATAACAAATAACCCGTTGAATGCCTGCCAAACGCGAACACTCTATTCTTCTAATTTCATTCCCAACCAACAGAGAAGAGGACAATACAAAAATCTATATAAGAAGATCTGTAGGAAAATAAAAAAAAAAATAAAAAAAGGCAATAAAAAGATCTATAGGATACCTAAGAGTTACTGATCAATATTATCAGGATTGGGACTGGTATTCCCAGCCTCTAATTTAGCTGTATCATCACCTAGCACATCATCCATCATATCATCCTCCCCAACATTTATATCCTCTACATCATCCTCATCTTCGTTGTTGCTTCTCCCAGGGATCTTTCTCGTTTTTGGGCCATGCTCAAGCCTATGGCTATCCAATTCTTTATCCATCGTTTCCTGTAAGTTCAATGCATCATTGTTCGCTTTTCTGGCTTTCCTTGCATTTTGCCACCTTTCCAATTCTTTCTCAACATTTGCAACATACTGTTGTGCAATCTGCTTCTGGTACTCAGACAATTCCTCTCTCCTAGCAGCCTTCCACTCTAATAACATCTGCTTCACAAATTAGTGAATTATATGTCTTAGTGAAATGAAGAATATACCCAGTACGCTTAACAAATTGGTGAATAAGACATCTTAGCGAAATGAAGATAGACCCAGTCCATTACAATTTTTTAAGTTTGAATTACTGATGGATTGAAATATTATTAACAGTAACAGGGAAAGGAAGGAAAAAAACATCAGGATCTAAGTTGGCATTTCATTCCAAATACTCAACCTCAATAACAAATTCAATCTATAAGTCTTCTGGCACTCACCTGTTCTTTTTGCTGCTCAAGTAAGGTTGTATCCTCATTCAATGGTTTGGTTGGCAAATAATAAATTGGAGGTTCTGCTTTAGTTCTGCAAAGCCATCCATAAAAAACAATCAAAGATTAGTAAAAAAGGACATAATTCTACTAAGGATCATGCACAGCAAGAAACATTCACTTGTCTGATCGTTTCAACGACAACACTTCTATGCACATGAACAGAAACTTATCTTTGTCTCAATAAAATTGTGAATATGGACACTTTTGGACCAAAATTAAAAATAACCTGCAAAAGAAAATGAGGTGCATTTTAAAAATCATTAGAGCAGGTATGCTTGATTGAGACAAATTTATCACCAAATAAGCAAACACAGCATGTAATTGTCAGACAACATTTCTATGCTAATAGTTAAGGAAGAAGCTTACCTTATAAAATTGGTAAGTTTTTTATGGTGCTCACTCCAGCGCAGAAACAGCAATTCCAACTTCTTTTCTTCAGCCTTGGCAGCAACACGTGCTCTAAGGGTCTGATGCACATATAAGAAATTGGAATAAAACGATTTAAGAGAGTGTTTGTCAGTGGTAAAAAGGATCCTTACTAAAGCTTACTTCAGAATAATATTTTTACTACAACATACCAGATCTCTCCTCCTCTTTTCTGCAATTTGTTCACGCTCTTGTTGCCTCAGCCTTTCACTTTCTTCACGCGCCCTTTGCTCAGCCTAAAAAGAGTCCACATTTAGTTCTTGCCAAGGTACTCATACCCAGTTTCAATAAGTGCTATGGCCTTTAAGAAACTATATACATATGGAATAAAATAGAGAGACTATGTGAAGTTCTAATTTTTATGACTGACAAACACTAAAACCACTATATGAATTGATAATTCAATTTTGGTATATGTTCTTTCTTACTATTGCCAAATGATGTGAAACTCTAAAATACCATAATGTTTATGATGATGCTCACAGATTATTTGTTGTTTGAATTTCAATAGAAATAGTGACTTAAAATCTTAGCATAGCAGCCATCATGATGAGTTGACATCTACTTACCCTTTGCAGTGAATTTGACCGGCGCATGAATGCCTCTGTTCCTGAAAGTTGCATATCTTCCTTCCTGAATTTCTGGTTAGATCACACAGATGAGAAATAAGAAACAAGAAACTTGACAGAATAACCAAAAAAAATTACAGAAAAGAATACAAGTGGACTGCTCACTGAAACAGATTTCAGCATGGAGAGTAACTTTAGAACATTTATCTGAGTAAAGCATCTAGACCTGTTTCACTTTTGATTCCTCTTCTAAATCAAGTAATTTGTTAAGGGACAATAAAAAAAAAGGACAAGTTACCTTTTATTAAGGTCGAAAATAATCTAACATCTTCATGTTTAAAGAAAAAATACATTTGGATAAATCTGGATATATGGTCAGACCAACAATTGATTTTGACACCAAAAAAAAAAAAGGATTGAGTTAAAGAAACAACTAGACCTAGTATCTGAGCTTGGTGGTTTACAGATCCCAAGCAGGTCTTGGTTTTAATATGAGTTGCATTTCTCAGAAAATTGGTTCCCTTGATAAAAAAAATGTATAACTTGTGGAAAGTCTTTCAGTTTCTGCTAATACCATGTACAACTAGATCAAAATAAATTCATCTGGCACTAACATCAGTTTCAGTACCAAGCGGGAATTAGGCCAAGGCAACAAATAAGGCATACCTCCAAAGTGCCTAGAAGTTGCCCGAGCATTCTTTTGTTTCTGTTAACCACGCTTGGATCCTCATCCTTTGGCAAAACCCTTGGGACAGGTTCTGTCAGTGGAATTTCAGTATCCTTAAAAAAATCCACAATCAGATACTTCAGTACAAATACTCAACCAACATTTGTGTATAAAGGAAAGCTTCAAAGTTCACCTTCTTTATTGCTCTTTGACTGCCATCCTCCCTAGACCATCCACTCCGAGACAGGCTGGACGGCTTTCTGTCACTTTCTTCGGTTGCCCTTGCTCCTTCTGCATTAGAATCCTTTTTCTTCACATCTGACGCTGCATCTGCATCTGCATCTGCATCATCAGTTATCTCTCCATCCTCCACCTTCAAATGGCAAATCAAGAATTGAACCATGAAATATCATTTAGATTCTTTGGGGCAGGTAAGAACTTAGATGGATGAAAGAAGGCTATACACCACATAGAGTTCAGTAACCATTTTCTTCTCGTTCCCCTCAATTTCTCGTGAACCATCCACAAGGTTAGGCAAATCATACAATTAGAACAGGAAAAAAAACTAGTACAAAAGCCAGGAAAAACCACAAAGACAGACACAGAATGTGAAATTGTAATGAAGGTTATACCTTGACAACAGCAGATGATAATCTCCGTTTGGCAGGAGGTTGATCTTCACTGTCAGTCCTATCCGCCTGCAACCAATAACATTCATTTCATGAAACTAACCCTAAATTCCCAAGATAAAGCTTCAAGTACTAAGAGTAATTGGAATCATGGAAAACCTAGATTCGAATGCCAAATAAAAGGAAAAGGAACAAATACCGGGCGAACATAGCTTCTCTGTCGCCCTCCATTGGCAGCAAAATTCCGAGGACCGGCAGCGGTCATCCCTCCCCTTCGGAGTCCTCTAGGATCTCGAAGCCTCTCCGTAATCTGAATTCAGAAATTTATGGAGGAAGACGAATCAAATGCACCGATAATTTTAAAGAAATATATAAAACAAAGATGCACAGAGAGAGAGAGAGAGAGAGAGAGAGAGAGAGAGAGAAGAGAGCGAAACCTCGCGTTGTTGGCGGTGGAGCTCATCGATTTCTCGTTGGAGCTCCTCCTCAGTCTTCTCGACGGCAGTACTCCCCATTTGAGGCTCCTTTGCTAAGCCAAGACAGGGTTGTTAAACAAGTAAGAAGAAGAAGAAGAAGAAGAAGAAGAAGAAGAAGAATAAGCAACAGCAGCAAGCCTATGGCCACGAGCAAGCTGCGTGCGCGAAAACCCTTGCAACTTGAGATAGCGGAGAGAGGGTTTAGGATCCTTTTTGTCAGCACAGTCGAGCGTAGTTCACCCAACTTATCTTGATGGGTTTTCTCAAGTTAATTCTCACAAAAAGAAATGTCAAAATGCTAATTTAGTCTCTCAACTATTTTAAAATATTTAAATTAATTTCTATATTACTTTTTTGTTATTTAAATCTTTATATTTAAAAAAATTTATTTTAATTGAATTGTGGAGATGTCATGTAAATTAAGTTAGATATATGTCATATTTTGATTAGATGGTCATCTTCGTTAGATGTTATATATATATGTAATTATATAATAACATCTTAGGCATAAAAAATTAAATTTTAATTATTTTTTATATAACAAAAAATTAAAACCAAAAAAACTATTGGTCCCTCTTCTTCTTTCATCCTCTTTCTAGACCTCAATATCTAAAACTATTTCTTTTACTAAACCTCACAACATGTCTCTACCATATCTAATTTGATCTCTTTTCTCTCAACTCATCTAAGATCTTTCTCTCATCCAACCAACTTGTTCTTTCTTTTTCTCTCTCTAAGTTTTCTAATAGAGACCGTCATTGATAGATTTGATCAAGGAAAATGACCACTCATTCCTCTATCATTTCTCTTGCCAAACGAGTCGAAGCCTAAGCTGACAAAGCTATTGTTATTTGAACCCTTTTATCCTATTACTCACATTCTCAAGACATTCTTATTTTACATCCTTAGTTTCAAGTCATGCGCTTTTAACTCCCCCTTAGCACCACCTTTGCAAGCCATTAACATTGGTTGCCAACAAAAACAAGTGGTATGAGAGAGATAGACCCTCAAACTATTTTGCAGTTGGCTCTCGCAACTCTTTAACGTTATGAGAGAGATTATGTATCTTCAAAAGATCATAAATTTTTTTAAAAAAAATATTATATTAAAATAACTAAAAATTATTTTTTTACACACTATATGTCATGTTATCTTACATATAACATATGATGTAGATGATGACTCAACCAGTGATATGTGTACAAACTAGTTCTATGTAGTACTTTCATTAACGTCATTAACACTTACGAATTGAAATATAAATATTTTATAAATATAGAACTCATACATCTTTACAAACACACTTATAGTTTTTATCCTCAAACTTTCAGATTACTCGCCTACTTCAAGAACCTAACTATTTCATTTATTATTTAAGTACCTAAACTTTGAAACATCAAAGGCCTTAAAGCAAGTTTTAAGTTTCTTATTAATTATCGTAATGTCCATTAAGTTTACCAAAACTATAAATCTGCTTTAATATTCTTTCTAAAAGGTACATTAATTTTTTACTAAAGTGTCGGAAAAAATAAATTGAAGAGAAAAATAACTCTCATGCTAGGGCCAAAAGGAGATTTGTAATGTGGAAAAAAATCAAGCTCTCGTTAATACAAAGTATGAAACATTAGTTAGAAAAGAATGTGAATGGACTTAAGTTGTACATTTTAGTAGTAGTTAATAGAAATAGATGTCATAACAGTAATATCGGATAATACTCCGTAAAAAAAAAAATAGATATTTAACTCTTTTAAATATTTTAAAAAGTAAGAGACTCGTCATTGATTCTAATATGAGAAAACTAAACATTAATTATTACATTACTTTTTTTTATTATCGAAGATTCAAAGTGAAATAGTACATAACAGTAAGATGTAAGACACTTATTATATGATATATATTAATTATTTTAATTGTGATTTATATGCATATTTTATGAATCTAATTATTACATTGATAGATCGATTTCGAACTAGCATTTTTTATCATGAATACATAAATTTTGCATGAAAAGAATAAAACCCAATAATGATAAAAGTCAACCAACTAATTAAAAAAGAAATATTATGTTATAATTTTATTTCTCAATTCATTTTTATAGTGAATTCTTCCGATATTTGATTTTAATTTTAAATAATTTTATTGAAGCCTAACCATTTTTTTTTATTTACCAATTTGCAATCAGCAAGTCAAAAAACTTGTAATCAATTGAATCAAAACCCAAAAAGATTTAAGCACTGACATATGAAAATTGAACTAATCCTCAAATTTAATTTTCACAACAAAATAAACTTCATTCATTTAATAATTATAGATTATCTCAAACCAAGATAGAGAATAATAATTTATTTTTAGATTTGTCTAAGATCAAAATTACAAAGTCAAGTTAAAACATCGTAATGTTCTATTGTGTTTGGTTTTGCAGATTTATTCAAATCAAAATCAATTTTTTAAAAAAATCTTAGATAAAAAGACAAACTTTTATACATATTCAAAACTCATTTCAAGAACTCAAAGTTTAAAGGAAAGGATAGTACTCTTTCAATTTGGTCAATGACTTAAACACAACAATACTTTTAGTTAACTCACTCCATGAATTAAGCTTAAACAAGAAAACAGAAAAAGAACTATGCAAGAAAATCAAATTTGTTGAGTTCATTTTATTTCACATATTCATATTCCCTAATAAGTCATACGCAAAATTCATCAATCTCTATTTCGCTAGAAGAATAAATACTCAAATATAATTAATTAAAAATAAAAAAGAATAAATTTTTAACCACTAAAACTCGATCTTAAAAAATAATAGACTTGCAAAATTTCGGAATCTCCATTCTCTTTTTATCTCTCTTTTCCTTCTTTTTTATTTTATTTTTATCATTCCAAAATCACTTCAAAGAAATACTCTTTTCTGGTTGTTTTCCTCTTCAAAACCTCTCTATTTGTTGCTTGATTTCCCCTCTTTTGTTTTTCAGGCACAATCTTTTCTTTTTCCTCCCCCTCACGTAATACTTCACATCCTTCTATTCTAAGCTCTCTAGATGAATATTTCACCGATTAATCTTTTGTTAATTTATTGAGATCTACGAAATATATAAAGAAGAAAAGTAAGAAAATATCTCGAGTCACTAAGAGATGTTGAAGACCGAACAAACATCGCGTGAGTAAAATCCTATAAGGGTTTCAGGGAAATGTTCCAGATCAATCGACCTAAAGAAATACCATTAAGCAACTAATTGTTCCTGTGATTGATATGTACATAATATACACACACACATGAACGCGAAGAACATATACTGACTGACATACATGCTGCAAAAATAATTTTATATTCTATTCAAATTTATAGCATATTTTTAACTTTTTAATTCATAGAAAAGCCTTTCTTCATCAAAAAGAATGCACCATGGAGGCAATAAGCCAAAAATTGGGTTCCAGAGCTTACCCCCGCACGCAGATCACAGAATACAACTTAGAACATACTACACCCACCACTTTATTTTATTTAATTAAAAAATATAATTAATTCTCAGAAAATCCATTTAATTTATTTTCTTCTTCCTTTCTATCTCTCAAATCTCCTCTGTCTCTCACTCACTGTCTGTCACCACCTCCTCCTTCCTCCCTCTCCTTTTCTCCGTCTCTTTCTTTCAAAGGCAAAGGGAAACTGTAAGTACAAAAACCCATCAAACAGAAGAAGGATCAAGGAGAGTGTACAGGAAGAAGAAGGAAGAAAGTGGAAGCTTCATTTCCAAGTATATCTCGGTACCCACAAAATGCCGCCATCATCGTCCAGACCACCCACTCATATTAACATCAACGGCGACCAGCAACAGCACCAGCACCAGCATCAGCCCCAGTCCCGACATCGGCCTCCGCAACCAGCTCCCGCCAATACTCACCACCCTTACTACCCTGCCAACTCTTCTTCTTCTTCTTCCTCAGCCTCCTTCAAGGGCTGCTGTTGCTGCCTCTTCCTATTGTTCTCCTTCCTAGCTCTCCTTATCCTCGCCGTCGTCCTCATCATCATCCTCGCCGTCAAGCCTAAGAAACCCCAGTTTGATCTCCAACAGGTGGGGGTTCAGTACATGGGCATCTCCGCTTCCAATCCCACCTCTCTCGACCCCGCTACCGTCTCCACCACCACCACGGCGTCGCTTTCTCTCACTATCAGGATGCTTTTTACTGCTGTTAACCCCAACAAGGTCGGGATCAAGTACGGCGAGTCCAGTTTCACTGTGATGTACAGAGGGATCCCGCTGGGAAAAGCTTCGGTCCCGGGGTTCTACCAGGAGGCTCACAGTACGAGAAACGTGGAGGCAATCATCGCCGTTGATCGGGTAAATCTGTTGCAAGCGGATGCCGCAGATTTGATAAGAGACGCTTCTTTGAATGACCGGGTGCAGTTAAGGGTGTTGGGTGATGTCGGAGCCAAGATCCGGGTCATGAACTTTGATTCCCCTGGCGTTCAGGTGACGCACTTTTGTTTCCCTTTACTTGCCGCTGCATTTTGGATATTATTCTCTTTTTAGTATCCATTTTTGGCTTCTCTCTGTTTTCTTTATCTGTCTCTGTGTGTACAATCATCTATAATTCAGTATTCTTAGATTATTCTCTCCTCCTAACTCTAAGCGTTGATCTGGTCAGAGTTTGCTAGTCCTCCTATGGCATTTTGCTTTGGATTCAGGGTATTTTCTTCCCGTCTATTCAAAAATTTTCTTGCATTTTGGTGATTTTAATTTTACTAGTTTCTAACTATACCCGAGTTATTTTCTGTTTCCCAAACCAGGTTTTTGTTTCTTTTACTCATTACTAAAGAATCGGTGCATTTGAGTTTGGATTTGGAAGGTGAGATTCTTCTTGGAAATGAAATAATAGGAAGGAAAAGCATTTCCCATTTTCATCTTCGAATTTGAGTTGGACTTCTGATTTACTGTCAATTACCATTCAAATATTGGATTCTGGGCTTTGGTTTCTGTTTTTTGTGTCTGAGAGGGGAGGGGAGGGAAGGAAGGAGGAACATGAGGACTGGGGGGGGGGGAGCTGCATCCACTACCTTATTATGTCTTTTCCCCTAACTCAGCTTTTTAATTTTCATGGCTATCCTGCGCGGCTCCTTTTGTCGTTACCTACGCTATCTCTTTGTTCCTACGCACAGGAATTGGGGGATGTTTTTCTTGGATTCTTTCACTGTTCCACACTACTTACATCCACATACATTATCTTGGTTTAATTCTCACAGCTTTTTTTCTTTTCCACATTTTCCAATGTTTCTGTTAAATTCAACTTTTATTTGTTTATTTATTTATTTTTAGTTTTGTTAGAAGGAAAGCTGAAGATTGGGTTGGGTTGGGTTTTATATTGTTTTATGTCTAAGTTACTCTTGAACTTAGCTACTATTTTTCAGAAGCACTCAAAATAGTATAAGGTGAGTTATATAGTTTTCATAATTTTTCATGTGCTAGGTTTTGAAAATTGGGTTTAATTTCTTCGAACATATTATATTTCTAGATGGAAAAAAATATTGTTTAGGTTTTTTAGTTAGGTGTGCACATTGTGTTGAAAATTAGATTTAACCTTTTTGGTTATTAAAAAAAAAAAAAAAAGAAAAAAGAAAAAAATTAAAGTATTGAAAAAGCTAAAGCATGAGAAATGAGATATTAACTATTATAATATTTTGGTTTATGTGTTTTTACATGAGCAAGAATTGGAATGAGAGCTTGTGCTCACAATGAGCTGGTTGCCATTTTCTTTCCTTCCTTTGGGGGTCTTTGTTTTTAATCTAGTTTGATATGGGTTTTAGAGATTTTTGTGTAATGTTTACCTTGACCAATGTGCTAAAGCATATTCCATCTTGTTTTTCTCATGGACTAGAAAAGTCCATGAATGACATCTTTTTTACTTGCATAACAGTGGTTATTGGTTATGTAATTGGCTTTTTCCACACCCAACCAATAGATTTCTGCTTATGTGGGGTTAGCTTTCTCTTGCACCATAATTGTCCTATCCCCTTTTTTTCCACTACCTTTAGAACTATATTTCACTGCCCAGTTCATCCATATTTTAACAGAATTCAAACCAAAAATGCCTGTATAAATCCATGTTTGGAAAATTATGTTTGATAAATCTAATCATAGGAGCAAAACCTTTGACAGTTTTGTTGTGTTTGTAGTGAATTACAGATTTTTTGTTTTATGTGCATTATTTGGTTTCTGGGTAAGGTGTGTAAATAGGGAGTGGACAAAAGGTTCATATTTTGTAGCATCTCAATGGAGAAACAATGTAATAGAACAAAAACTAGCTAAGAAAAAGTCTCCCCCCATGTGATTTTTGAGGTACTTAGGGTCCCACTTTCACCCCAAAACACTGCTGCACCATTTGAAATTATTGCCCGCTGTTCTTTTAAGATATATATATATATATATATATATATATTTCAACTACAGGAAATCACTTGTAAGAGAGTTATGCATAGAATAACAAAATAGGATTTCTATGATTTCTACTGTAATTAATTGGTACCCTGGTTCGTACGAGAGAGATACGAAAGTTTAATTTGATCTTGAGTTTATTAAGTTAAAGGGGGATATGGTTATGATTAGAAAATCAATAATATTACAATTTCTTAACAAGAATACACGAAATATAATGTATAAAGTATAGAAGTACTATTTTTCTATGTAGGGTTGGTGGGTATCGTTAAATTAAGAATGTGGATGCGTTTTGAGAGTGTTAAGAATGAGGGTGTGTCTTATGGCTTTTAAGAAACATGTATTATACTATAGAGATTCTGTATATCTAAATGCTTATGTATATATATATATATAGAAGCACATAAACATGAACCAAAGTAGTATTTTTGTACTTCGAATTAACAGTGAGAAGGGTGTTGGCTGGCAGGTATCAGTGGATTGTGAGATCGTGATCAGTCCAAGGAAACAGTCTCTTACTTACAAGGAATGTGGATTTGATGGGTTGAGTGTTTGAGTGTGGCTGCGGGTGTATTTATTTTTATTTTATATACACCACCAACCAACAACACCATGTTTTTCTAATTCCTTTCATATCATCTCTCTGCAAATTGGTCAAGAGAGATTGAACAAGGCAATTGGCAAAACCCAAAGTGGAGTGGAGGAGGTCAAAAACAAAAAATTCCCCCTTCACATGGATGGAGCAAAGAGAAATCAAAATTCAAAATTTTTGCTGTTAAATTTTTTAAATATATTTGCTTACTTCTTTCTTAAGGAAAAAAAAAAAGAAAGAAAAAGTCTTTTAACTCTGTAAAGTTGCATGTGTTTAACACCTTTGCTTACTATTCCAACCCTAAATGGGCGCTCTCTGCCATTGTTTTAACATGGAATTTTGGGTATAAACAATGCCCGAAGTCAAATTCTTTAGAGCTTCTTCTTTTCTTGATGAACAATTCTTTTGTTCCTTTTCCTATTCTCCTTTTGAAGCTTCCCTTTTATTGGACGGTTGTTGTACTTCTTGGGCTATAAACAATGTTAATTGTATAAAATTAATCAAACCAACAACTCCGAAAATATCAGAAAACCTGCAAAAGCACACAAATACAAAAAGTTCAAACTGATGGAGATAGAATTGCAAAATCCATTATAAAAAGAGAGAGGAGAAGATATGTAGGCATCTTATCAAGAGCACTAACAATCAGTATCTTTGGCTTTACAGTCTCTTCCAATCGCTCTACAATTGGAATTAAGTTAAATTGATTAATAGTTAGGAATGACGTGTGAAAAAGAAAGCCACATGAACCTGTCCGATCTATCAGGAGTTGAAGAGGAACGCATACCAAAAATAACTCCAATAATAATGGACCAACGACTCTCTCTCTCCCATACACGATATATACATTGTTTATATTTTTGTGTCTTTCTGTGCATGCATAACCTTGCCCTAAAATGCTGTAAAGATTCAAATACCCAGTTGCTATAACACAACTTTTTGAGGAACCAGCACCAAATTATTCATTGTGTTGATCCACATTCAGGTATTAAAACTAATCCCATTCAAGTTCACACACACACACATATATATGTATATCACTTTTTAACGTTTTCTCCTTCTCTTAATCTCATTTTTTGCAATGATTTCTTCATGGGTTTTGTTTTTCATTGATCTTTGTTGTCCTTCATTTTTGGTGGATATAAACAACATGAAACTTGAGATTTCAATTTGTTTTTAACTGTGGTTCTACATAACTAAACACAATAGCAAGAAGAAATAGATACCATTGTTGCCAAATTATATTAAGTTAAATGTATAGATTATAATTAACAGGCGAATGTTGCAAAACTTCTCTCTTAATTTGGGTTTTTGGATTTCCAAAACAAATCATTATCCAATTTTATAAACTTTGATCTTCTTTTTGGACATAAAGTTAATACTCAATATTTAGATCTCTAAATATATGTTAATTAACAACTAAAAATCCAATTATAACTAATATTGTTTTAATAATTTGTTATTGGGATTTTTTTTTTTTTTTTCTTTGCAGACTATAATGGAATCCATTAAAGGGCATGGAGGGATTCAAATGCTATTGACTGCAGAACAAGAAGCCCAACACATTGTTTCTACTGCTAGACAATGTAAAAACTCCTTCACTCAAAACAATTAATTATTTTTTGTTCAATTCTTTTTGTTACAAATACTTTTTGCAGGGTTTTTAGATGTTGATTTCAAAATTTTCTTGTTAAAAAAAAAAAAAAAAAGCCAAAATGACAAGACTAAAGCAAGCTAAAGATGAAGCCGAGAGAGAAGTCATGCTATGTGGATCCCATATGGAAGAAGAATATCATAAGAAAGTCACAGAGGTATATTTAATATTTACTTATTGACAATTTTTTCTTTTAATTTTGTGATCATTATTTTGAATTGTAGAAAATTATATGTCAAGTACTAAATTACCACAAAAACAATTTGTTGGACGAAAATAGAAGATATTACCTTTAAATTTCTTCTTACACAAACAAGAACCAAAGCCTCAGAAAAGATGACAGAGTAGTGAGACATATATTAAGCAACTCTTTTGAGGTAATACATATTCTCTAATTAATCTCGATCAATACATACGACAAATTATATATTTTATAATAATCAGCTTAATCACTCGCTATACATATTAATAATTTAGATAATTTAATAAACATACTATACTATTTTAAGAAAAAAATTTAGAAAGACTCATAAGAAAAAAAAAAAGAAAAAAACCAAAAATAAAAACAGAAATGACAATAAAAATAGAGAAGGTGCATGGTGTCATTTTTTTTTTTATTACATAATACGTGTTTGTATCATAAAAATAGTTAGTCAATTATACGTGCATGTCATTTGAATAACTAAAAAAATTTATTTTTCCTTTAAACTTAGTTCTTGAAATCTCCAATTTATATGTTGGGTATCTTTGCAAGTGTTTTATTTATTTATTTTTTAGCTTAATATCAAAACCATTAATGTCATCGATATTTTTTCTCTAGTTACAGGTTTTATTGCATGTTCTCTGAAAGATTAATATCACTTCTCTTGTAATCAACGTTACTACATCTATTTTGTAAAAAAAGATCTTAAAGTACTATATTGATTGCCTAAGCTCTAGGTTTTCCTATTATAGTAATTACTATGAACTCAATCCATGATAATTGTGCTATCACAACAAATTAGAATATATACAAGCTAATTTTCACTGCATGAGAATTTTTAATAAAATTCATGTAAACTCTATTCCTCTTCACTAGTTGAGGTTAGAACAAAAAAAAAAAAAAACCTCTCAGAAAAGATCTTGTTGAAGAAAATAGAAGAATTACCTTAAAAGTTGCTTCTGTTAACTATGAAACAAAGTTTGGGAGGAGGTGCCAAGGATTAAACATGTATTAGGTTGTTATCTTGAGACAATAAATATCATCTTTGTGATTAACTAATACAATTAGTTCAACCACAACATCCATGTTGCTAATTAGCATAGAATAGTAAATTAAAAGGTTTACAACATCACTCATTTTTCACTCTCTTAACTAGAGTTTTTAAGAAAATCTTTAGGAAAATCAAAATATTAAAAAAAAAAAAAAAGGTTGAG